GCATTAAATACACTGACTTTGAGTACCGAAAGTGTGTGTGTGTGCGTGTGTTTGCGCGTGTGTGTGTGTGTGTGTGTGTGTGTGTGTTCTTGACTTGCCTTAGGGTACAACAGGGCACACTAATTTAGGTGCTGAATCTGCCATGAATTTTGGTAACAAATCCTACACTTTAACACCCCCTTAACACACACACACACACACACACACACACGCAAACACTTCTGCACTGTGACTTTCCCCATCATTGAGTCCATATATCACAGGGTAGATATAATAGACTAAATGCCAATCTTTTGTGAGTTTTGCAAAAGCTGCAGACGACACACAAAACATTTAGTAACTCAAAAATGCATATATATACACTGCCGGTTTGCAGGCCGCCAAGCATGTTAACTCCTTTCTCTTTATGTTAAGCTTTTCTCGTGATATCTCGCAGTGATCTCGCAGTGATCTCGCAGTGAACTTTGTATCTCCCGTCTCTCGTTTCTGTTCACTTCGCTCTCGTGCTCGATTCACTTGGCAAGGGGACCGAGGGGAACAAAAATCTTTTCCGTGGTTTTTCCAGATTGCAGGGGGCCTGCGTCCGTAACCCCCGTGATGTGCAATGGTTGACTGTATTTCATACGTAAAATGTTTAGACATAAATATTTTTATTACATCTGAGACCTGGAATCTAATAAAATAGCTGTTTAGGTGCCTATTCTGTAATACACCCATCCATATGTCATGGGTTCCCTCAAGTGCAGGTATCCTCCGACATGCGGATGGGACTGGGGCCAAAAGCAAGTCAATTTGGGTGTTTCTCAATAGTTACAGGGGAGAGGCAAGACATTAAGTACCGTGCCGTAATATATAACCAGCACTCTTACAGCTAATAATGCAATTATAAAATCACAATACTTTATAATAAAGAGATTGCCATTACGTACAGTACTGTAATAGTTACACCATACTCTACACCAAATAATAATGTAAATACAAAATCATAACATCTTGTAATAAAAAGTGATTAAAATTCACAAAAAAGGCACGATTTGTGCTGCAGAATCAAAAGATGCACGCAGTAGCAAACAATGGTAGCTGAGAAAGTTGACGGCGCCTAAAGCTGCGGTGAAATATTTTATTGTATTTTTACCATAAATATTTTATCGTACGGTACAGTAAGTTTCATTTTATGTAACAAAATAGCACAGTATAGATACTGCATCTGTATCATATCTGCTGATTGTAGCTTTCCGTCATATATGCATTACTATATACATCAGGGGTCACCAACATGGTGCCCGCGGGCACCAGGGTGCCCCCCAGGACCACATGAGTCGCCCGCGGACCTGTTCTAAAAGTAACGCAACTCACCAGTGAGCGGCGTCTAAAATTTAATTTTATCCTCTCGCTATTCTTCTTTAATCACATTTGCATTTATATAGATTTGAAAATGACAATATCTAAAACAAAGCATTTATCATACACGAAGTTTCAAACTGGCAGCCCTTCGTATGGTTCAGTACCCGTGAAGTAGCTCTCAGTTTCAAAGAGGTTGGTGACCCCTGATATACGTATTACACGTTAGATACGGACCGTGAGTCATTATTCGGCAGGCAGCACTGCTCATTCTCCCGCACCTGTAACACTGAGCCAATACACCCGCTATCACCCGACCGCATCCTCTTTCAGGAGTCTCTCCATCGGTGTATATTATATACTATGGATTTCAGACGTAAATGTGATCAGACGTTAGTCGATAGTACATGAGTTGACGGATACCTGTACTTGAATAACATTAGAGGTATCCAGTATGACCATCCGCGAGAAATGCTAACGAAGCTACAAATCAAAACCGCGGGTCAAGAAGCTATTTTTAGTCTGATGCTAGTATGATTTTGTAGTATGTTTCTAGACTGAAGATGTTCATTTATTCATTTGCTGCGTTATTTCACCAGGGTGTTTTCGATTCTCAAAGAACAGATGATGTCTATATTCTGCAATTGCCTCCAAAACAATACGGACTGGTGGCTCTGAGGGTAGGGATCTGTGCCAGCAAATGGAAGACGGCTGGTTGAAATCCTGAGAATGCCCAGAGTGATTCTACTCCATTGGGCCCTTAAGCAAGGCCCTTAACCTGCATTTGCTTCATCTTGGGTATGATGTTAATCTACATCCAGCCCTATATGGGGGATAGCTTGGGGGCTGGTTGGCACTTCAGCCTCTGGAAAAAAACTCACGCTGGTCCATTCGGACTAGCGTGGTGCTGAGGTATCACCTGCCGCATGGCTTCACTCAGATTCTCATCCCTGAGGTGGTTTGTCGTGTGGTGAGTGCAGCAATGCACTGTAATCAGTGCATGTTCCTTACCTCTCCAAAACAGTAGAGAGCTTTTCTGCACATCAGAAGTCTTGAGATTATCTTGTATCCCATTCATACTTAAATTTACCCAGTATATATTATTATAAAGGCAGCCATTCTATAAAACACAAAAGTATCCAATGACTGAAGCTTAACCAATGGAAATGTAAAATCACCTAGAAACATGTCCAGATGAGTAAATGACGATTTATTTATTTTAATTGTTGCTCTAATGGATTATTTGCTAGCTTGTTCTGCTCCACCCCCATTTCTATAAAAATGATAGTTTGATTTTGCTGACTGAGGTTTACATTGGTTATTACTTCATCGCATTAACACATAACTAGATGGGCAGCTTGGTTTTCAAAGTGCCATTGTCTCATTAAGCATAACATTGTGGGGTTCAGTTTACAACAGTTTTTTTTGTACTGCTGTTCTGAATCCTAACCCAAAACCAAGTGCTGTGTGCTGGATGTATGGCAATGGTATCCGTTGCCTATTTCAGCGAGAATTATTAAGGAGCAATTTCAAAATTGTTTGTAGGTTGTTACATTGCTACAAAAGTGCCCTGAAGCCAGAGCTCTATACATCTGTTGTCTGAAACAAGCAAGTTATCCCCTTTTAACATTCAGCATTTTCCTTGGTGCTTATATTAGGCAATTTACATGTTGTTATGCCAAGAAGCACAGGACTGTGGTGCCAGGTGGATGGATGGATGGATGGACGGACGGACGGATATTTAAATTACAATAGCAGCTCAATTTAATTAATCATACTTCACCATGGTCATTTCAAAGAGCCATTGTCTTTCCCTCTTAGTAACTACTTTTACAGATAAAAAAAGAACAATATGTGAAAAAAAACTGCTCCCATATTTCTGCTCACTATCAAGTACAAATACCACACTACTACTGGCAAAACACTGTTTGTGTGTGAGCCTCATTTCATCAGTATTAATATCAGGCTGATCACAAATGAGCCAAACATATAAAAACATTTTGATGTGTGTCTGGTCCTTCTTCAAACTCTCCAACTCTGGTATAAAACATTACAATCCCAATTTTAATGATTTTAAGCACAAGGTGCAAGTTTTTTTTAGGATGTGGTCAACCCACTCCCTGAAAAGTCAGGTTTGACAGATTGCTATTATAATGGCAGATTCAGCAGGTAGTAGAAAACAGCAGGATTCCACCAAAGCTCCCTGAGCTTTATAATTAATAACGTGATTTCCGTGTGCATACATATGGTGAAGTTTAATTGATTAATTACGCACAGTAAGACATCAGTAACATTAAATGCAGTAACAACAAAGTACATTGTATCTCATTATATTGTACTGCACCAGGTTTGCCAACTTTGATCAGCTGGTTGGAGTGAGATTTTCAGTTCGAGACAAGTCTGCACAATAATGCACTCATATCTACATTAATGTAACAGTATCATTGCCTTGTAAATTGTCTATTGGGTTTGCAAACTACCCTAACGCTTTTAATGTAATTTTAGGTTTATAATGGAGTAATATAGATTTGCCATAAGAGCCTGAAAGCGTGAGTGTCACGCCATATACGTGAGAGCTGGCAACTCTGCTGTACAGTACTGTACTCTCTCAAATGAAAGGAATTCTGATGTTTTGCCGTAATTCTCAAAAGACGCAATATGGGCGTCCCACTTTAATAATTAGTGTGATTCATCCTTACTCGTTAATTCAGATAAATATTATGACTGACTATTACGACATATATTTCTTAAAATATTTTGATGAACACATTAATGATCTTTCACATTGTAATCTTTTAAATTTGAATCTTTTGCATGTTTGTGCACTGCTACGTGTCCCTCTGTGTACGCAGTGTGTGAAGGTGCCTGTGTAGGCTCATGTTACCATATCGATACGGTGCCCTTTAAATAACAATGAAATACTGCTCCACTGAGTTTAGATCAAGGTTTTGTTGATGAAAAGTAGGCTTGGGTGGTATCTGTTTTTGCATACCATCATACCTTCTAGACATTTCAGCCCAGTATACGGAATATAATGGTATTAAAAAAAATATATTTATATATGTAAATCATGTAGGCTCCTGTAAATTCCGGAATCAGAGATAGCCATTGAGCATTCATTGACACCACTGTCACTGCAGATCATACATTTAGTTTTTTGTGGCATTAACCTACGCATGCCCGTCATTCTGTGTTATGCTGTGCAACAAAACATCGCCTCAATACAGCATCCCCATATCAGTTTCTTAGAGAGAGGAGCATTTGTATTTTTTATGGTATTACGAATAAGACCTTCAAGATTTTTAAATACCGGAGTATACCATAATACCGTCATACCATACAAGCCTCAAAACCAGCAATTCGCTAACAATGCACCTCACTTCATTTTAAGAGCAACACGCCCAAGGCTGCTCCGATGGGTGCAAGTACTTTTGCTATTTAAACAATGCTGGTGCTGGATGGGAAAATGGCTACTACACCCGGCTCATGCTAGCAGAGACACTCGCATCTGGTACGGTGTATCTGTACCGTATACAAAATAGGGCGGATCGAGATAAAGGTACTGAAAAACAATACAAATTCCATCTTCAAGACAGCTTCTTAAAACCAGTTTGCAAACGCAAACAGTATACTACTGATGATAAGAACAAATGCCTTACTGTGTTGACAGTGGACTCCATTGAAGCCAAGTGGACAGTTGCACACATATCCAATAAAGGTGTCTCCTCTGTATGTCTCACTTATTTCACATACTCCTCCGTTGTGACAAGGGTTTGGTTGGCATGGACCTTTAGGGATAAAGAAAGAAATGATGATAGTTATGAAAATGTAGACCTTAAGACCAGATAAAACATTCAGCATATAGTTTATCCAGGTTTTTGAGAATCCATCTGTCTCTATTCTGCTTCTCCAGTTACTGTTAATAAATAAGAAATTAATGACATTCTACAGCCACTGCCTAAATGAGCATCTCAGTGGTTAGTGCCGTTGACTCACACTTCAGGGTTGGGAGTTTGAGCTTGCATGGTCTCCTTTGTGTTGTAAGGGTTTCTTCCGAGTACTTAAATAACCCCCCACAGTTCAAAGGCATGCAGTTAGGCTAATCGGTCGTCTCTAAATTACCCATAATGTGCCCTTCAACGGACTATGCTGTCTGGGACGGGCTCCAGGATCGCTGTGACCCCAACCAGGATCAGCGGTTGGGAGATGGATCGAAAGACTGATCACTGAAGCAGGACATAACGTTTCAGTAAGGTTTTATTTGTACTCTACCTTGGCTCAAAGAGCGTAATGCTTTTATAGATACGTCCAGTAGAATGCTACTGTAGCTTGTTTAGATCAGAGGTGGCTATTTTTGGTTTTTAGATGGGCCTGTGTCAGTGAGCTCATGTTATTTTAGATTGTCACTGTATGCAGAACTATCAGCTGATCGTTGTTAAAGGCGTTAAAGCTGACAGTTGTTAAAGGTATAAATTGTTACCTACTTGAAAGGCAACTCTTGCGCTGAAGTCCATGTTGAAATTTTCTATAACACTATAACTACTTTACCTTCGCTTGATATTCAGAGTGAGGCGAATAATAAAAAAATCAGCAATTCTTCTCAGCAAGTGCGCTACAGTAAGAGGTTTAACGGAACACTCCCATTGATATGTATGACAGGGGTAAGAGTACATCAAGCAGGGCAGTCCTGAATGGGCCTACTGTATGTATGGAGTTAAAAGGCCCACAGAACTCGATAACCTACTCCCACGTACTACCTGCCTGCGTCGCCATATATTTTGTTCCTAGGCAGCCGTCAGTGTATGTACAGTGAACACATATTTTGGTAGCATGGACAAAAATGTATAAACACAAAGTAACTGAAGTTGGTGACACTTGAGGGGGCACAAATAATGTACTACTATACTCTTAATTAATCATGAACTAACACTTACTTAATGTATTAATTAATCACAAATTATATTTGTTCAAAATTTGTGCTTGAGTAAAAACTAGTGAGTTACTAGTGTTACCATTCAGGCCTCCTGAAGTAAAGTGTTACCCTGAAATCTTATAGGTACAATAGCAATTCCCTTCAAGGTATCGGAATTAACACCATATTTTTCTTAACCAGATATTTGGCAGTACTTTAAACTATAAGAACATTATCAGACACTGATAGTTAATTATAATTATCAAGCATCACACAACTGTTGCGTGTTCGGCCATTCAAGGCAATCAAACATAAAACATTTGAATTAATATTAATAGGTTAACTCATTAACTCATTGTGATGTCATTCAGCCCATTGTGATATCATGTAAAGTCAATGGAAATCAGTGTCAGCTCTAATTACAATAATCACAGTGGCTTTTGGTAATTCCTATTGCAGTCTTGGTTGAAAGAAAGAACAAAAATGGCGACTGGAATTTTTTCCTTTCTTCCCTGCTTGGTCATCAGTTCTCACTCCCCATGCCCCATCATAGCTTAATACATGCCATCCATTAATTTTTTCCGTTGTTCACTTAGAATGACTTACATAATGACCACCCATTGTCCAAAGACAAAACCATGTGTAACTTGCTTTTACTGTTATTGCTGACAATGACAAAAAGAAACTTGAAATGAACAATACTACGCATTATAAATGACTGAAGATGTTTCACAAAACGTCGCTGACCTGTCGTGTTCTCTGTGTGTAAGCCCTAAATCACATACTGAACATATCTCTGCTGAGCGATTTGGTTTTTCACAGGTTTGTGAATATGTCCATTCATGAAGACAAGCCCAGGATTTAGTAAATCCTTTCATTCAAGAGATTAAGTAACCAGAAAACAGCGATTTATAATCTGAAGGGTAATTATGTTAAAATACATGCTCCATATAGCGTTAGCTAACGGGCTTGTTAACTGGAATGCCGGAAGCACAGACACAACCATTAAATGATGTTTTCTTGTAAAACCATCATATCTGATGACAAACAAGATAGCTTGGTGTGTGGACCGAGGGCCACTTACAAAGCTACTGGTATTTTGTCAGTAGATACCTGTAGGTAAACCCAAGTTGATTTCTATGTGATTGAGAAATATCAGGTGACATTTATCGCGGTTTTCATAAGCATTCGTATCTCAGTCTATAAATATGAATTGTAAGACGGACCTCTTATAATGGCGAGCGACGCCCACTGTAGAGTGAAACAGTTTGGCTAGTGTTTACACACAGATATAAACTGCATAGATATATAAAATGTCTCCTGGTTTGTGTGTGTGTGTGTGTGTGTGTGCGTGTGTGTGTGCGTGCCTGTGCAGCTGTTGCCCATGATGAGGTAATGCCTCTCTGTGTTTCACTCCACAGCTCTAAGGCAAGGTTACAGCCGGACAGGCCAGAGCCCTCCGGAAGTCTATTGGTTTTGGCAGAGACCTCCTGTGGGTAATAAGAAGCTACAAGCACCCGAGTCGCACTCTGTGGAGGACTGCAGGAGAGCTCTCTTCAGACAATATATCTGGGTGCTGCATTGTATTTCTATTTGGTACATTTTGCAGTATAGTCCAGTAAGGTTTAACAGAATATCGTCCCATTCTTCTGCAACATTAGACCTTCAAATAACTACTCCATGGAAGTTGAAGAAGTAAAAAAAAATAGAGAGAAAAAATACTACAAAAAATCATCCTGCGACCTTGTCCGTATTCTGCTACCTTATCGGTATTGAACGGTACATTTTTGCACAGGATAAGAGTACGCTGAAGTTCAGCATCCCACAGAAAGGCTTAGAGATGGGCCGTAAAATACCATGCAAATGTCACAGGTAGCATACAGAGGATACGGCCCTGTGCCGACCGTCCACGTGTTAAAAGGCAGAAGAAAGATAACCGCATAAGCTAGCCTTCAACTACAGTCTCTATTTACGCTTAAAGGTCACTGTGAGAGCGCTGGAGTGTGTAATGGACCTGAATCTTTTTAGCCCAATACCTACCCTCAGTTGAGGCATTTTGTACCTTCACTACGGCCTGATGAGGGCCAAGCCAGTGTTTTCAGTAACGAGCCGTATGATTACCACATCAAATGTAATTATGTACACTGTGCTACATTGCAGGGTGAACAGTCTGCGAAAGGTCACGCGTCAACATGTTATATTTTAATTAAACATTTCTGCGTCAGCCCCCACCCCCACCTCACGCACACACAGATTGGGGTAAATATCACTCGACGTGATGCAAATATCCCAAGGCTTCCCCAGTTTGCCAAAGGTATATTTCATGCTATGTCTCAAATTGTAAAGTTCCCCATGGAAACCTATTATGTGAGAGTTGCACTGCGAAAATGAGATTTGGCCCCAAACTGAGATACTGCTGTATGCCCTGAATACCCATCCTGTCCTGATGGATTCAAAATCAATGACTCGAGTCTCATTAAGATTCACCCCCTAACAGTTTACACTGTTGCTCCATCTGCACTTGCATGTCTCTCGGAAAATGACTTTGACATATGTTTAAGTGAGAATTTCTGCCAGAATTTGTCATTCAGAACCAGAAAATTACTTGTGTCCAATGGAGTTTGTATTGCATGCATATTGATTGGAGTATTAGGGAATTTCTGCCATAAGGTCATGACCAACATGTGAAACAATCAATCTTGAATGTCTTTAGCAATATCTCTCCACCTCATTCATTATCATTTTAAGTCTTTCATCAAAAACAATGCAGACGAATTTTCTCTTATTATTTTTTACTTAGTCAAACCTTTACACCAAAGTTAACAAGTTAAGATTAACCAGTGAGCGAGGTATGACCTCTGAATGGCCCCCTTCCCGCTCTCATTAATGTGGTGCCAGCCTTCTCCTGGTACTGACCAATTCCTCAGCGGATCCTCTGAGAAACGTCCTGCTTGCCTCTTGTCAATTAAAGCGGCGACAAATTGAGAAGGAAAAACGGTGGTGTTTGCGCTTTTGGAACAGAATGGGTTCCCAAATTGAATTCTGAGCCCATTCCATGGTATCCTTGCTCGTTTAAGACAACTGGCTTGTGTATGTTCTGATTATAATAAAAGTTGTCCTTAGGATAACCCAGGTTGTTGGTTCCTACCAAAAATATACAGTATCTCCAGGCAGGTTTAGTGGTATCACTACAATTCAGATAAACCAAATCCGCTAGAGTTACACTTGCTTTCTTGCAAACGTAAGACAATTGATGGGGGAAGGAAGAGAGCGAATCACAAATTCATCCTAGCCATCTAAATATATTTGGACTGCTTGTCTCTGGAATCTGAAAATCTGTGCATCTGTTTATTTGCTGCAGGTTTATAACACAGGGTTGTTTAATGTTATGTTTAATGTCCTTAGATGAAATGCCTGATTATCTGAATTACTCTCCGCTGTGCACAGAGATTCTAAACTGTGAATTATAAAATTTTCACATAATTTTCTATTACTTTCTTTATGAAATAGCTCTTTTTAAATAGCAAATTCAATTAAGTAATTTTAAGAATTTTAAACTAGCACCTTCTGGGTTAATTAATTAATTATAAAGTAGTGATTCAGTTGTTAATTTTCTCTACTTATTTTATTATTCTTTCCAGAAATCTAGCACACATCCTAGTACCCTGGTGAACACATCCTTCATCAAATTAAGCCTGACAAATTAACTACAGGTTAAATGTAAAATCCCACTTATAAAGACAAGGCATTAAAGGTCTTGGCAAATAAATGAATGGGGGTAACGACTGGAGGGATAGATAAAAGAAATAAATGCTGATAAGATACGCGAGAGGAGCTTCAGAATCACGGCGGTGCTACAGGAATTTCCAGGCCTAGAAAAATCCCCACCTGCTGAAGTAGGATCTTCCCCATCTGCTGCTGTAAGACAGAAAAGAAGGTAAAATAAATTAGTCATTCTAAAACCAGTCCATTACACACCAAATCTTAACTGTAAAGACGTGGGCCAGGAAACATACTGTGTTGCTGTGTGTTTTATTAACTGTATATTATTGCATTGACATTGAGTGTTTATAATTGTGTATAATGTACAATGTAATATACTATATATAAATAAAACTGACAGGTAAGTTGGTGCATATTGAAATATGTGCTTAACTTATAAAAACAAAATAAGCTACTTATGTATTGTGTGTGTGTGTGTGTGTGTGTGTTTAATTCTCATCAGCCATCCATCGCATTATTACTCTAACTGTAACAGGTACGCTGATTATTGTGTAATAGTTGACAAGACAAGATATGTCTGATAAAAAATACGTTAGATAATTTAATCAAATATTTTCTGCAGATAACTTGTTCCTTACTCTGATAGAACTGGCAGCCATGACTCCGGGCATCGTTTTAGAAGCACTGTTTGCTAATATCGGCAGGCGGTGTCTCTGTAGCGTTCAGTCTATGTTTCTACCTTCAGCTACAGTAACAAAATCTGGGTAGCGACCAAAAGAATGAAACTGAGGATATAAAAGCAGATATGAGTTTCTTTGGCAGGTGTCTGGCTAGCATCAGCCTAAGACCTATGGTGAGGGGCTCGAACATTCTGGAGGGGCTCAAAGTATAGCCACTGCTTCTCTACATCCAATGGAGTCAGTGTGGTGGTCCTGACACCGCCCCGCGGTGGTCCTGGTACCTGTCTAAGATGACTCCGGGACACCGCCCCGTGGTGGTCCTGGTACCTGTCTAACATGACTCCGGGTCACCGCCCCGTGGTGGTCCTGGTACCTGTCTAACATGACTCCGGGACACCGCCCCGTGGTACTTCAGGCGTGTCCACATGTGAGGGGACCCCAGAGTAGACCCAGGTCATGCGGAAGAGATTATACTGTATCTCTTAGCTGTCCTGGGAACGCCTTGGTATCCCCTTAGAGATGCTGGAGGTGGTGGCTTGGTAGAGAGATATCTGGTTATCTTCTATCAGACTGCTGCTCCCACTACCCAGAACCAGAGAAGCAGCAGAGAATGAATGGATGGATGGATGTTTTTCATTGTCTCATGTTGTCGTTTATTACAATTTAGCTGCAATGCAGATCAAGAAAATGCAGACCCAGTTTCTACTGTGTGGATGTGTAATATTTCAGTGTCTCTGTGAAGTTCACTGTAAAATATTTAGCGATACCAGTGACAGAAAGAGAGGTACTGGATCTGAAACCTTGAAGTCATTGAAAATTTCACTCTGTGTCAGTTACGTTTACACATTGTATATCATACTTGTTCATACTGCCTCCATGTACCAAGGAAATAGTAATAAATACCACTTAGTTAGTCATCCTGTCATAATGTCCCCCTCCTCTGTGTCCTAAGCCATTCAACCCCCCCCCCCCCCCCCCCCCCCCCCCCAGGAAACATAGACTGATTGATATAACTGAATGACATAGTCCGTGGGAATGCTACATGGTCATGTCTAATATCAGCACACTTGGTTTATTTCGTCAGCTTTTGTGCAAGCGCTACCATATGTGCACATCGAGATTCTAGCATATGATAGATATTCTAGCCTTTCATTGGTCAGAAAGCGCAATGAAGGTGTTTATGACACAAAAATGCACCCAAGGATTATTACAGTAAATTACATCTGGACGTTATGAAATGCCAGCTAGTTGTTAGTCTAGGAATGATTGTGGCTATTTACAGTAAAAGGTACTGTGAAGAGAAAAAGCACCGGAAACAAGTTGCATAGGCTGGCTACAAAAGAAAGTGAAAGCGAAAAAGAAAGGTTTTACAATGCAAAAAGGATGAGAAAACAGAAATTTTCCAAGTGACTAAGGCTTATCCAGGTTGATCCATTTGCAGTGTGATCCTAACATTCGTAAACGAGGGCAAAGGTCTGATTCAGATTACAGGATGTTTCCTCATTCATAGCAAAAAAAATCTACTAGAGCATGATATGTTTGCTGTAGTCAATTAACTTCTGTATTTCACAGCGTGCATAATAGACAAACACTACCTATGTCTACCTATTTACTGTAAAAACAGAGTTAGTGAAAAAAAATCCATAAAACAAGCATCAGAAATGCTTTGTGGAAGAACTAAGAGCTTTAGTTTATGCTGGTGTAGCGCGTTCCAGTGGTAGCATTAAGGTTTGGTCGCTTGTCAGGACCAGCAAGCTACAAGAATTAAACATAAAAAGCTGCTCTATCAAATCCTACTTTTCATATTTTTGTTTTGGAAGTTTTTCTGTTATGACAATGAAGGCACCCAAGGTGACGAGGTCTCATTATTTCCACAGTAAATTCCCGCTAAAAACAGCACCATTTTTGGGAAAAAGATGTCAATAAAACCTGACTGGATCTATCCAACCTTCCATCCATCCATCCATCCATCATCCATCCTTCCAGCCATACATCCATCCACCCATAACTTCTTATTCAAGACAGAGTCATGCATAACTTATATACTTATATAACTTATACACTTACATCATATGTCAATGCATGATGTGTCATATGTAACAACACAGCACATAAAAATTGGGTGCCGCATCAAAAACATTTGCTGTTAGTCCTCTTATCTCTCTCATTTTTGCACACACATCAGTATGCACACCAATACAACTCCCTCTCCTTCAGAATAAAGCTGTAAAGAGCATTGACAGGATATCGACAGGTGTTATATCATTTTCCTGCTTCTTTATCAGATTTTCCCAATGGTATTAAAACATATAGCTACGTCAATAAATATATGCCAAGCTGCTCATAAAATGCTGCTGAGAATAAATCATTTTAAGGTTGCTGTAAACTATGCGCTCATATTTTGGTAAAGCATACAATGTGTATTCAAACAGTTTTAATTTATCTAGATAATAATAGGCTCCTTGTAGCATTTTCTGATAAGGCGCTAGCAATCAGAAATTGCTCCCAACAGAAAATTCCTTTGAGTCAGCAGTAGAACTGCTGTTTTGGTAACACATGCAGCTTTTATATATACACATTCATTGTGTGCAATTAAGATGATAAAATATGAGTCTCTTTATTGCATTTGAGCCATGCCACTTTCTTGTCAGTATAATTCAACATAAAAGTGCAATATTTTTTTTTACAGTACTTTTATTATAGCAAGTCCCTTGCTTATTGCTATAGTACTACCCCATTATTCACACCAACAAAAATGTGTTCAGCATTATTGATTACTCCTGGAACAGCAAAAACCAGGCAACAGAGTTTACCAATTGTTTGTCCACTACATCAATGGCACATCATACAAGATTTAGAAATTAAACTATGACAAATATAAACAATGGCAATTTATCCATAAATTCTACAAGGTATACTGCATGAACAGTCCTAAACAATGCTTGTATCTTATACTGTCAGAGAGTAAAACCCCACCGCGTAATTCTTTTCATTTGATAAGGCTTGATACAATGCCAGTTGCTAATTAATAATCAGCAGTATGGGACTGTGTAATAGCCTCGTATCTCTAAATCTGGGGGTTGCATTCTACCGCTGCACCTCTGCTTGTTCTCCCTCTATGACAGGTGCATCAGCTTCGTCCCGCAGCCTAAAATTAGGCTAATGAGCATCTCTGAATTGCCAGTAGGGTCTGCGTGTGTGTGTGTGTGTGTGTGTGTGTGTGCACGCTCTGTGATGGACTGGCATCCCATCCAGGGTCTACCCTAGCCTTGTCCGCTACCCTATGCAGATTAAGCAGTTGAGTGATGAATGGATACTCAGTAGTAAGTGCAATTTTATCTACATGCGACTGTAGTCCCACTTGCTGGTCCTATATTCTGTTTGGTTAGTTATGGTCAAGGTTAGGGCTGGGTAGGGGTTAATTAAGGGTGACTGGGATTAGGGTAATGCCAGGGTTGCCAGACTTTCATGCTCATGCAAGAAATGTTACGGCAAATCTATATTATTCAATTATAAAATACTGGGGTAGTTTGCAAACCCAATAGACTATTTACAAGGTTAAAAGCACAAGAAGAATTGAACTAATTAGCCGACCACACATCATCCATCATCCATGAGCCTTTCAGTTTCAAAGTAGTTTGTCAAACCTGAAGTAGCTCATAGTGTCCCCCCTGACAGGGACAAGGTGGTCACCCTAAACTTGCCATCATAATCACTTGATGAATCCAGTCGTCATTGTTCCATTTCTTATAACCACATCTTAGCACGTTACACATAAAACCAAATTTCTCCACTAATAACTTTGCCTTGAAAATTTATTGCAGCTGCTGCACCATTAAACTCGCTTAGAGTCAGAGGTGGTCTGGACTATGATCAGACATCACAGAACTGATTGCGTTCTGTGTTGTGAAAACTAAAGTTACGGCATTTCATTCATTAGGAATTAAATATTTTTTTTGTAACAGAAGCTATGTGGTACACAGTGTCCGGCAATTTCTACTTAGTCTATTGTATTATCTGACTGATCCAAACCGCTTATGAAATTGGGCAATTTCTCTTGGCCAAATTAACTTTTTGCCATAGACTAAACATGATGTGTTTTCATTAGTGTGTGCTGCTGCACTCATCCATCCTGTGATTGCATTATATAATCTTTATGTTGTCATCCGTCTGTCTCATAACAGCTTATCTGGCTAAGGGTCCAGTTACGGTCAGCCCCAAGCTGACATAGGGGTGTACCTTGATTGGGACGCCAGTCCCTCAGGGTAGCCTAAGGAAACACACACAGGGACAGGGAGAACATGCAAACTCCACGCATAACCAGGGTTGCCAACTTTGATCAACTGGCTGGAGTGAGAATTTCAACTCGAGACAAGTCTGCACATGCGTTTACATGTATGTAATAGTTTTATACTGGCATGCATGCATGATCATAGGAGACAGACCAATCAGCACACAGCAAGAACTGAAGTGCTTTAGTGAAATACTGGTCTTTTTAACATAAATGGTAGTTTA